GAGGGAGGGAGGATCTCTAGGAGAAAGCCAAATGAAACATCATTAGGGTTCCTAAGCACTGGGGACGGGGGCCTTGCCTCCCTCCTAGCTCTGCTGATGGTGAGTCTCAGTATGTGAGCCCCCCCACCAGACCAGGCCTGGGGTGGGGGGCGGGAGGCTGGGAGAGCGCTGGGCTGGAGAGCCATTAGCGGGCATGTTTATTGGAAAGCCCGTTTAAAACTCTGTAACATTCACCTAATGGGAAAATTTGAAAAGAATTCAACTGGATTTGTCCTTGTTAAACTAACATTAAGGATGTTTAACAGCTGTCTCCAGCACCAGCGCATTACAACCCGGAGATAGACTTGGCAAACTAATGATTTTGTTTGTCATTAGAAGAATGGTGGAAGGAGCCAGTGTGGGCAGAGCTCTCAGAGCTCGCTTCACCCACATGTACGGGGATCTGGCCGCCCATCTCCTTTCTTGCTGACCTGGCCTGTGGGAGGGGCTGCATGTCTAGAGTCCAGGCAGGGGAACCAACCACCCCCCTGGCATGGCATGAGAGGAAGCTGACTCCGCCCCACCAGCCAGGCCTGGGAGAGGCTTGAGTGGATTAGGGATTAGGGTTAAGACCCCAATGCCGGAATGGTCCTGTCCTTTTCTTTGGTGTGTATGGGAAGGTGGAATTCGACCCCACAGCCTAATGCATGCTAGGCAGCCATTGTACCTCCAGCACATCTGCTTATTCCTCACTGTTCACTGGGCATGTCTGGGTGCTCACAATGCAGCAACAGCACAAAGCCATGAATGCTGTGGCCTGGGGAAGGACTGAATTCCACAGAACCTTCTGGAAAAGGACCCTAGGCCAGCATTGGAGTCGGGGCTTGGGAAGCTTTGTGATCTGGGACTTAGGCACTGTGAGGCTGGGGGAGGGGAAGCCCTCCTTCTTTTCCCCATCTGTCAGGGAGAGGTGGTCAGGTCACCTACTCCAGATCCCTAGTCACAATCCCTGGAGGTTGGTGGCTGGAGGCTCCAAGCCCCTCGGGCCCCATCCAAAGATTCTTTCCCCTCTTGGCAGAGCCATCACACTGGATAATACGCTTGTCATCCTGTCCACCGTGGCTCCCGACGCAGGCCGATACTACGTGCAGGCGGTTAACGACAAGAACGGAGACAACAAGACCAGCCAGCCCATGACTCTCGCTGTGGAGAGTGAGTAAGCCCAGGGCCCGGACTGTCACCAAGCAAGTCATTAAATCTAGGGAATGGGGCTCTGGAGGGCCATTGGGAAGATGGAATGGTGGGGACCGGGAGGAGGAGCAGGGCTGGAGGTGCTAGCCAGTGCCAGGGCAGACACAGGGAGAGCCGCGCTCCGGACGCCGCTCATCCCATACCAGAAGTGGGGGCGTGGGGGTGCTCAGCTTGGCTGTAAGCAAGACCACCCGCAAGTGTGTGTGCGCATGTGCATGTGTGTGCATATGTGTAGATTCCAGCCACCCCCAGGCTCCGGTGTGAGCACCCCAGGAGATCAGAAGCTGGTTTTCCAAAAGAAATACAGTGACCTCTGCTCAGCTGGCACACAAACACGCTGTTTCTGCTTGGAGCAAGGAGGTCCCCAGGGGAGGGACACAGGCTCTCCCCAGGCCTCCAAAGCTGCCCATCCTCAGATTGCCCGCAGCCTCCCCAGGAGAGAGAGGCCTAGGGCCTGAACCCAGCAAGAGGCTCATAAAAGAATGCCTGCTGCAGTGACCTTTGGCAAAGAGATACCCCCTCCCTGCCCCCCTTTCCCTCCCCTCCTGTCCCTGGCCCAGTTCTCCCAGAAGGATTGGCCCTTCCCCCAAGCCTGCAATCCCTGGGGTAGAGAAGGCCGGGCAGGTGGCTGGGTGCGTTCAGGCTGTGAATCACGTACACAGGGCCAGCGTTTCCACGTATGTGGTGGGTGGGGTGGAGGGGAGGGAGAAACAGATGTTCATCTCATCTCTCCACATCTGCCCCAGTCCAGCTCCCAAAGCAAGTCTCATTTATCATTTCTGGTCACCCTGGCACATGCTGACAACATGGGGGGGGAGGCGAGGCTCTCGCATGCCCGGCCCCGAATCCCAGTCTCTCTGCCAGTGTCCAGGTGCCCAAATTCCCATTCCTAGGCCTCCTGAGCCCAGGTTTTTTCACTCAAGGCGGCATTCTATCACTTGACTCGCGGCTCCACTTCTGGCTTTTTGGTGGTGAGTTGGAGCTGAGAGTCTCATGGACTTTCCTGCCCCCATCTGGCTTTGGTGCATGATCCTCAGCTCTCAGCCTCCTCAGTAGCTAGGATTACAAGTGTGTGCCACCAAATACCTGGCAAGAAATAGTAATTGTTTCAGGCAGCAGGTATTTTTCAATGACCCTGATCTCACCCATCTTTTCTTCCTTTCTTTTTATTTTCTTTAGCCCAGGCGGGCCCCAAACTCACAATCCTCCTGCCTCAGTTCCCCAAAGGCAAACCCAGTCCTTTTTAAAAGAGGTCATAGCGGTAAAGCCAGGCATCAGTCCTGGGTCACTCAGTTTACCCTAAGAGCCCGCAACCAGGGCTTGTCCAGTGTGACCTCCAGTGTCTGCATCTCCAGGGTGATTATTACTATCTGCTTCATCCCAAACCATCTCACCCCTCTAGCCAGCCCCAGGGAATTCAGGCAGGACCCCACTTCCCCCCTCCTCCCCGCCCCCACTCAGTCTACCCAGCCTCCCGCAGCTCTCTGCCTCTCCCACCCCAGTGCCCCATCAGTTTCTGCTGCGCGTTGAGAGCAGAATCAACTGATTTTTAGTTAATTTCTCCTCCCACAAGTGATTGCTCTTCAAAACCCGGCTCCTGGTGCTGACACAAACTCCCCCCGCCTGTCTGCCTGCCAACCAACTTATGAGGAGCAATTGCTACTTCACCCCCTGCTGGCTCCACAGCCCCCTATTACCTCACCTGAGCTAGGCCCGCCTCTCCCTCCCCTCTCCTTCCCTTCCCACCCACCACCCCAGTCTGCTCAGGTCAGGGCAGATAGGATCAGCAGCAGTCCCAGGGGGACCCTTACTTCTTGGAGATGGGGACTAGAGAGGATGAAGCTGGTGATCTTGGGGATCCCCCATAACTTCACAAGGGCCCTCAGAGTCCCATGGGGGAGGGGGTCCACACTTGGGGACCAGAGCTGTTCTGACTTGCGGATTGCATGCACCATGGGCACGATTGTAAATTTTCCAGTCACCCCATTTTTTTTCACAAAGAAAGAAATAGGTGGAATTCATTTCATTAATATATTTTTTATTTAATCCAATGAATTCGAAATAGCCTTTCGGCGTACCCGTGATGTGGGAAATATTAATGGGATATTTCATACCAGGTTTCCTTGGCATAAGGCAGTCTTTGAAATCTGGTGTGTATCTGATACCTACAGAACATCTCAATTTAGATGCCGGATTTTCATCTGGAAAACGTGAGCCGTATTTAGATTTCCTAAAAATTTACAGCTGGAAAGGTAGAATCCTGATGCCCAAGTTGTTTCCCACAAACTTAAAAAGGGTTCTAATAACTGAATTGGGGATGTAAATTAGCTAAAATGAAACCTCATTAACTCAAAGGGGCACAGCCACAGTTCAGGAGCACCTCAGGCCCAGGTGGCTGGCAGCCCCACGTTGAATCGGGTGGGTTTTATGGCCTGGGGGAGTCAAGGCAGCTGGGAGCTGGATGTCCCAGCATGCCTGTCTGGGTGAGGGGCTAACAGCCCTGGCCTCACTCACCTGTGGCCAGGTGAGTCCCTCAGTCCCCAGCCTGGGCTTCTTCATCTGTAAGGATGCCCAGGCCAGGAGTGGGAGGGGCCTTGGGAGAAGGAGTCACACCCCAGAGCCCCAGTCCCTGTCGGCTCTCCTGAAAGACACCCTGCTTTGCTTGGGTTACTTGTGATTTTCAGAGCTGGGCTTTTAGCCCCCTCTTTCTCACCCCCAATCTCCTCACTGGAACTCAGGCTGAGTGACCTCCTCCTAAGTCTCAGCCTCCAGCTCCCAGCAGGGTTACCTGCAGGCGTATGCCCCGGGCCCTGATGTGGCCTCACCCTGCTCAGGCCCAGGAGTTTTCTGGCCATCCTGGCCTCAGTATAGAAGGAAGGCCACGCCCACGTGAGCCTCCGTCTATCCACACTGGGTGCCTCGCTGTCCCAACGCTCCTAATTAAGGAAAGAGACTTAGGATGGGCCTCTGAGAGAGAGAGAATGCCAGACAGCCAGGAGGTGCTGCAGAGGGGAGCCCACCGTCCGCCGCCACCCTGGCCCCACACCCTCAGCCTCTGCTCTGAGGACTGTGATACTGGACAGCACCAGGCACCCTATGTCCCTCAGTCTCCTCTCTGCAGCAGACCTCTGCGGACTGGACATTATCTACGCTCTACAGATTGAGAAGGCCGAGGAGGAATGGCTGGGCACTCACGCCTGTAATCCTAGCTACTCAGGAGGCTGAGATCTCAGTATGGAAGTTCAAAGCCAGCCTGGGCAGACAAGTCCATGAGACCTTTATCTCCAATTAACCAGCAAAAAGCCAAAGTGGAGCTGGGGCTCAAGGGGTAGAGCATCATCCTTCAGTGAAAAAGCTGGGAGGGGGGAATGCGAGGCCCTGAGTTCAAGACCCAGCAATGGCACACACACACACACACACACACATACACACACACACATAAACTCAGGAGTAGAACCCAGGCTTCTCTCACCATACCTGACCACCACACTCAGGCTCAGAAAGAGAGCAGAGGGACGGACTCTCTGTCCATGTCTCAGCCCGGGGATCCAGCACTGGGCCCAGGGAGGTACGGACAGTGCCCTCCAGCCTGGGCAGACAGTCATTTATTGAGCAACTACTATGTATTGGGCACTTAGCACTCACTCCAAACCTGCTAAGCCTCCCTACCCCCTCCCTCCTTAAGTCATTAAAGGCGTGAGCATTGATAGGACTCCCTCCCCCTTGAACACAGACCCTGCCATCTTGGTGGGAGAGGAGAGTTGAGTCCACGTGGTCCTGTGTGGCTGTGGAGGTGGGGGTGGGGGTACCAAGGCTTCACCTCAGGACGTCACTCAGCTTTTTCAATCATGACTCATGTTCTACCACTTGAGCTGTGCCTCCAGGCCAGCTTTTTTTTCTTTTTTGGGTCCGGTCGTGGGGCCTGAACTCTGGGCCTGGGCGCTGTCCCTCAGCTCTTCAGCTCAAGGC